TTTTTTAATTTTTAATTTTAAATATATGGGGTACAATTCAGGGTTAGGTATACAAATGTTCATTATGCAGGTACCGTTGTTGATGAGGTATGCCCCCCACCACCCCTGACTGTTTCCCACTGCTGCCACTCCTGTCCCTACCCTCCCCTGGCAGTTTCCCATTACTGCCAATTCCTTTGTTACAGTATTACAATAGTTTTTCAAGGTCCGCTTATGAGTGAGAACATGTGATACTCAGTTCTTTGTTTCTGTGATAGATCACTCAGTATTATAGCCTCTAGGTACATCCAAGTTGCTGCGAAGTTCATAATTTTACCCTTCTTTATGGCTGCATAATATTCCATTGTGTATATATATCACTTTCTTATTTTTTTTTTGAGTTGGAGTCTCACTCTGTCGCCCAGATCGGAGTGCAGTGGCTGCTCCCAGCCACCACAGCCTCGACCTGCTGGGCTCCGGCGATCCTTCCGCCTCAGCCTTCCAAGCAGCTGGAACTACAGGCGTGTGCTACCACGCCCGGCTGATTTTTTGATTTATTGTAGAGATGAGGTCTCACTGCCCAGGCGGGTCTCGAACCCGCCGGCTCAGGCAATCCATTCACCTCAGCCTCTCAAAGTGTGGGATTACAGGCTGAGCCACTGAGTCCAGCTTAAACTGGTAATCTTATTTTAGCACCAAAAATAAACTGAAGGTGACACAGTAACGTGACTATTAAGAAACTTGAAGTCATCTGTTGCTTAAATTTAAAGAACACTTACAGAAAGCTTGTCTGGGTTAATCCAGTTGTTTTCAGGAAACTGCACCTCAAACTTTATATAAAGATCACCTTTTATAAAGGGATCACGATAGTGTGGCATTCCTTCATCTCGAACTATACGAACACATCCTATTATTTAAGCAAAGAAGAAATGATTAAGAAGTTTACCCAAAAAAAGGTGTTAAATAACTTTTCTGAATTATCTATTATAAAAGATTATAGATTGTAAGAACATGAAAACCTGATCAGATAAAATCAAGATTTACCTGGTTCAATTACTTTTCCAGGGGGATATTTCACCACAATCTGACGTCCATCAAGGTGCTTAAATGTGAACTGAAACCCACATAGAGCTTCAACAAGTCCTATTTTATGTGTCATGTGCAAATCATTCCCACTTCTCTCAAACACCTATGGGTAAAGCACATACACACATTTATCTTAAAAATTATGGAGCCATACCCTGCTGTATTATGTTCCCTGAGTCAATTTCAAAACCTTATTTCTACTTTTCACTGCAAAAGCCAAAGTCCCACTGTTCCTAATTCCCTAAATTTATATCAGGAAGGCTAGTATACCCAAGTAGTATGCCAGCAACTTCTATGAGAAAGGTACATGGGAAATGGGAAAACAATGGCACATAAGAGTAACAGAGGTGAGGCTCTAGAAACAGCATCAGACACTGGGGTCCCAAAAAATGTATACACATTTAAAGAGAAATTCACCGACATCAGAAGTGTCTGGATGCTGATGGTAACTACTTTGAGCACCTCTTGTAACTGCAGAAGTCAAACGTGACTTATATTCTTATTTAGTACTATAATTTTAACAGTTTTTCCCTTTCTTAAAACGTGTATGCATTTTTTTGGTACCCCGTGCATATCCTGCAATTAGGACCCACTTTCTGACTCTGCCTCTGTGCAAAAAGGCATAGAAAGCCTGGCAGGCTCCACCAGAAATGCTCCCTTGACAAGATCATAACTGGGAAGCAGAGGGTCCAAGTTCAACATTAGAAAGCTCAATCAGTAATCCCAGCACTTTGGGAGGTGGAGGCAAGAGGACTGCCTGAGTCCAGAGGTTTGAGAACAGCCTGGGCAATTTGGCAAGACCTCATTCTCTACAATAAATCAAAAAATTTGCCAGGCACGGTAGCTCATGCCTGCTGTTCCAGCTACTTGGATAGCTGAGGCAGAAGGATCACCTGAGCCCAGCAGGTTGAGGCTGCCAGGGCTGTGAGAGTGCACTCCAGCCTGGGCGACAGAGTGAGTCTCCTCAAACAAAACAAAACAAAACGAGCTTTCTTTTTTTTCTTTTTGAGTTGGAATTTCACTCTGTTGCCCAGGGTGGAGTGCAGTGGCACACTCACAGCCACCCCAGCATCGACCTGCTGGACTCCGGTGATCCTTTCGCCTCAGCCTTCCAAGTAGTCAGAAGTACAGGCACGCGCTACCACACCCAGCTAATTTTTGATTTATTGTACAGACAAGGTCTCACCGGGTTGCCCGGTCTGGTATTGAGCCCGCAGGGTCAGGCAATCCACTTGCCAGGTGTTGGGATTACAGGCTGAGCCACTGGGCCTAACCTTTTTTCTTTTTTTGGAGTATGAGTCTCACTTTCTCCCAGGCAGGCCGGAGTGCAGTGCAATGGCACCTTCACGGCCACCTCAGCCTTGATCTGCTGGGCTCAGGTGATCCTTTCCACCCCAACTTTTCAAGTAGCTAGAACTACAGGCACATGCCACCACGCCTGGAAGATGCCCAGGCTGGCCTGGAACCCCTTGACTCAGGCAATCCTCTCACCTCCACCTCCCAAAGTGCTGGGATTATAGGCATGAGCCACCACGCCTGGTCTCTGAGCTTTCAAAGTGTAGGAAAAATACATCCAATTTCACATGCCCAATCTGTAGTTTTTGTTTAGCAGAACTTACAAATATCCCACTTAGCTTTTTGAAATTTGTGATGAAACAAAAAAATTTTGTATTTATAGTTTTTTTTTAAAAAGATACAGAGTCTTGCTCTGTAGCCTAGACTGGAGTGCAGTGGTGTGATCATAGCTCATTGTAGCCCCAAACTTCTGGTCTCAAGCAATCCATTCGCCTCAATCTCCCAAGTAGCTGGGACTACAGGTGCCACCACACTAGGGAAACAGAACTGCAGTGAAAAGCTGTCTGGATTTTTTAAAATACAGTAGTCTCTCTTCTTCCAAAGGACGACCTTGGCTGGTTCACTTAAAGAAAATCTCCTAAATTTACTCATTAAACAAAGTTACTCATGAGTACAAAATAAATACATAAAAACAACACAAAGTCAAACCATTATCTTTTTTGAGTTGAGATCTCACTCTGTTATCCAAGTTGGAGTGCAGTGGCACAATTACAGCTCATCTCAACCTTGACCTGCCAGGCTCAGGCGAACTTTTGCCTCAGCCTCCTGAGTAGCTGGGACCAGGGGCATGTGCCACCACATCCACCTAATTTTTAAAAGATTTTGGAGAGATGGGGTCTCTCTATGTTGTTCAGGCTGCTCTTGAACTCCTGGTCTCAAGTGATCCTCCTGCTTCAGTCTCCCAAAGTACTGGGATTACAGGCGCGAGTCACCATGACTGGCCTAAACTATGATCTTAACCAAATGACTGAGTGTGGTCTAGACCAGCAGTCTCAAGGAACATGTTAGGAACACAACATTCTTGGGTCCCATACCACTCCTACTGCCAGAAACTATGTAGGTGGGGCCCAGCAATCTGTAGTTTTAACAAGCCCTCTCAGTGATTTTAATGCATGCTCAAGTTTAAGAACCAATGAATGTATATTATTTATATACATTTACTGAAGTGTTCTTCACAATGGGATCAATAAGGTTTTGTTAATGCAGATTTTTCAATGACTTTAAAATGCTAAGTATACTACCAAGTACCAGTGTTTCTGAATACCAGTGTTTGTTTGTTTGTTTGTTTTTTGGGGTTTTTTTGAGTTGGAGTCTCACTGTCGCTCAGACTAGAGTGCTATGGCACACTTCCGGCCACCGCAGCCTTGACCAGCTGGGCTCTGGAGATCCTTCCGCCTCAGCCTTCCAAGTAGCTGGAACTACAGGCGCATGCTACCACGCCCAGCTAATTTTTGATTTATTGTAGAGATGAAGTCTTGCCAAGTTGCCCGGGTGGGTCTCGAACTCGCAGGCTCAGGCAATCTTCTCGCCTCGGCCTCCCAAAGTGCTGGATTGCAGGCTGAGCCACCGAGCCCAGCCATACCAGTATTTTAAAAACCATTTAACCAAACATCCTTTGGTTAAAACTGTTAATTAAAAGTAGGGAACAGGAAGTACAGAACCAAGTTAATGGTATAAACAAGTTGAACTGCAAGTGATTTCAATAAAAAATATTAGGGTGGTTGTTGGGGAGGGGTGGTGCTAGACAATTTGATGCTAAAGCTTAAATGAAGAAATAAGCAAACCAGATTAAAGAGGGACTACCAAGCACTAGATTACAGAATACTTAAAAGTCATAATAATCCCTGAAAAACTAAAGTATAGATTATAGAGGACTGAATCACATCACTAGATACTGTGATTCTGTGCTGTACAAATGCCACTATAGTAGCCAGATCACTGAGAAAAACAAACAGGCATACTGAAAAGTAGTATGACAGGAAAATGAATTCAGATGACACAGTACTTTCAAAATTAAATGCTTTTTATTTTTATTTATTTTTGAGTAGTAGTCTCACTCTGACTCCCAGGCTGGAGTACAGTGGCATACTCATGGCTATGGCAGCCTTGATCTGCTGTGCTCAGGCAATCTGGCCCCCTCAGCCTTCCAAGTAGTTGGGACTTTAGGCACATGCCACCACGCCCAGCTAATTTTTTGATTTATTGTGGTAACAAGGTCTCACCAAGTTGCCCAGGCTAGTCTCGAACCCCGGGGTTCAGGCAATCCTCTTGCCTCTACCTCCCAAAGTGCTGGGATTACAGGCATGAGCCACCATGCACAGCTGAATGCTTTTTAAAATTAGATCTATACTGTTTCAGCTACAGCACCAACTCTAATCTCGTTATGGCCTTAATTCCTTCAGTGTAAGATTGGGAGTGGGGAAAAAAAAATAACTGAAAGGTCTGACCATGTTTGTTTTTTTTTAATTGAGAAATTTACATTTTTATTACTAGATAATATGTAAAACAAACATCCTTTCATTCCTTACCATGAATTTCATCTAATTTCTAAATTAGTAGATGAGAACGTTGCTCAACTTTGTAAATAAAAAAAATTATTTCATTTTAGAATTGGGGATACATATGAATAACTGTTACATAGGCAGTCTTGTGTGATGACAAGGTTTAGGTTTCTGATGACCCGCACCCTCATGTTGAACATGATAACTAATGGGTGGTTCTGTATCCCTTATTCCCCTCCCTCCCTCCTTAAGCAGTGCCCAGTATCTTATACCCAACACACAAGCGGCCAACAAACATGAAAAAATGCTCATCATCACTAATCAACAGAGAAATTCAAGTAAAAACCACAATGAAATGCCATCTCACACCAGTCAGAATGGCTATTATTAAAAAGTCAAAAACAACAGATGTTATGAGGCTGCAGAGAAAAAGGAATACTCATACCCTGTTGGTGGGAAAGTAAGCTAGTTCACTCCCTATGGAAAGTAGTTTGGAGATTTCTCAAGGAACTAAAAATAGACCTACCATTTGACCCAGCAATCCCACTTCTGGGTAAGTACCCAAAGGAACATTAAATCATTCTACCAAAAAGACACCTATACTCATGTTTACTGAAGCACTATTCACCATAGCAAAAACATGGGTCCAACCTAGGTTCCCATCAACAATGGACTAAAGAAAATGTGAAATATATATATATATTTATATAAGAAATATATATATATAAGAAATATATATATATATATATATATATATATATACACACACACACACACACACTACAGAATACTACGCAGCCACAAAAAAACAATGAAATCATGTCATTTGCAGCAGCATGGATGCAGCTGGAGGACATCATTCTAAGCAAATTATCATTATGTTCTTGTTCAAACTATTCTAGTTTTCTTCAAAAGATTCAGAACATTTTTGTGGTAAAAATTAAACAAGATGCCTAAATCTCACCTTTGGCTCAAATTTACTTTAGTGGTCATAAAAAAACCAAGGAACTAAGTGAACTTCCATTCTAACCTTTACCCTCTTCTATTTTCTTTCTTTCTTTTTTTTTTTTTTTTTGAGTTGGAGTCTCACCCGGGCTTGAGTGCAGTGGCACACTGCTCACAGTCACCATAGCCTCGACCTGCTGGCCTCAGGTAATCCCTCAGCCCCAGCCTTTCCAAGTAGCTGGAATTACAGGCATGCACCACCAGGCCTGGCTAATTTTTTGATTTATTGTAGAGATGAAGTCTCGCCAAGCTGCCCAGGCTGGTCTCAAACCCGTGGGCTGAGACAGTCCTCTCATGTTGACCTCCCAAAGTGCTGGGTCTATAGGCATGAGCCACCACGCCTGGCCTAACATCTATTTCCTATCTTAGGCAGCCAGTTACACCTGCCTTCTGTTGGCAATTTCACCGCTGCCAACAATCTTGAGATGACTTACTTGCAAACATCTTCCCACAGCCCCACAAAGCAGCTTATTCACAGTCTACTGAATTCTTCAATATTCTTCCTGAGGGAAGACTGTTTTGGGTAAGCCAAGCAAAGCCGAGGGAGGCCACCTCTAGTAAGTGGGAATCAGACCTTAAGTCCCCTGCCTCCAAGTCCAGTGATCTACTTTTAAAATCCCAAATGAATTATATAACAACATTAAAGACTAAATTTAGGGATAAGAAAAGGTTGTACCATCAGTTTGATATGCCCCAAACCAACTGTCCCCAAAGTACTCCAATGAGTCCATCAATAAAACATGCAAGGCCGGGAGTGGTGGCTCACATCTATAATCTCAGCTCTTTGGGATGCCAAGGTAAGAGGATTGCCTGAGCCCACAGGTTCGAAACTAGCCTAGGCAACTTGTTGAGACCTCATCTCTACAATAAATCAAGAAAATTAGCTGGGCCTGGTGGTGCGCACCTGTACTTCCAGCTACTTGAAAGGCAGAGGCGGAACAATCTGCCTGAGCCAGCAGGTCGAGGCTGCAGTGGCCAGGAGTGTGCCACTGCACTCCAGCCTGGGTGACAGAGTGAGACTGTGACTCAAAAAAACAAAAACAAACAAAAAAACCCACACAGGCATTGTTTGTACCATTTTTCAATAGTTTATACCCAAGCAGACTTCCCAGTTATTTAGCAGCTTTCTCTTTCTGCCTCTTATTCCTTGTATGGTGATGAACATACCAGACAAGACTGAATAAATGAGCAAGTAGCTAAAATGCCCAACAAATAGAGAATCTTGTAAGAGTAATATTTCAGTCTACAAGACCCAAGGCAGAATTCTAAAAACTACTTATTAAAAAAAAAAAATCAATCTAGGAGACCCTTGCCATTTGCAGGTTTGGTAGTATCCATGCAGAGCCAAAATACATAGTGATTCACAGCTTTTATCTTTTTTTTTTGAGTCAGAGTCTCACTGTCGCCCAGGCTGGAGTGCAGTGGCATGCTCATGGCTATAGTAGCCTCAACCTTCTGGCTCAGGTGATTCTCCTGCCTCAGCCTTCCAAGTAGCTGGGACTACAGGCATGTATCACCACTCCCAACTAATTGTTTGATTTATTGTAAAGACAAGGTCTCGCCAAGTTGCCCAGGCTGGACTCGAACCCCTGTGCCGAAGCAATCCTCTTGCTTCAACTTCCCATCCCAAAGTGCTGGGATTACAGGTATGAGCCACCATGCCTGGCTGTGATTTACAGCTTTGCTGAGGCATGGCATCTGCCTGGTATACCCTGAAAGGATAGTACAAGGGAGCAAATCACAACCTTGTAAGAAATCACAGTCAAATTCCTAGCATGTGCATCTCAATATGAATTTGTTCTCTACTGGATTCTTGAAATAATTTTAAAAACTTACTTTAATTGTAGAAATGACTGCCACAGAACTATCTCCTTCTTTATCAAATATAAACTTTTAAACTACCAAGGGACAAATTATCATCTTACCCATATTTTTCAAATTAAAAAATTAGCCAGGCATGGTGGCACATGCCTGTGGTTCCAGCTACTAGGAAGGCTGAAGTGGAAGGATTGCCTGAACCCAGCAGGTCGAGGCTGAGTGGCTGTGAGCATGCCACTGCACTCCAGCATGGCCAAGAGTGAAATTCCAACTCAAAAAAAAACCCCAACCTTTCACTGAACATAATACCAATTTACTATTTCTCTGTGTTCCCTGGGTTTACTGCATAGGAGAAAATTTTAGTGTAAAATAAAAAGGTGGCTAACTTGTAAACTTTCAGAAGTAAGCCTGAGTAAATGTGGTCAGGTTAAAGCCAGAATCCTGTCAAGTGTTTCTATATTCAAGAATTTAGGTGATTACTATGTGATTTTTCATGATTAGCCTCACACTGATTCATTCAATAATTTTTTGGTAGAGACAGGGTCTTCCTATGTTGCCCAGGTTGGTCTCCAACTCCTGGCTTCAAGCAATCCTCCCACCTTGGCCTCCTAAAGTGCTGAAATTATATACACTAGCCACTGCATATAGTAATATACTCTTTAAGAATAAAGGTCTACGACATACTAAATAACAAAAATATTAAACCCTGGGCTTGGCACAGTGGTTCCTGTCTATAATCCCAACACTTTGGGAGGTCAAGGTAGAAGAATTGCTTGGGGCCAGAAGGCTGAGGCTGTAGTGAACTTTGATGGCGCTATTACACTCCAGCCTGGATGACAAGTAGGACACTGTCTCAAAACAACAAAAACAAAAATTAAAAAACCCCTCAAACTCTTTCTTTCAAAGAAAGTTCACTTGGCCACCAAATAAGTGAAACAAATTACCAGAGCAGCACTGAGGACTGAAGCGCTATCCAACTAACCACCCATCAAAGTAGTTTCAGAGTGAAAAATAAGCTGCCTTAGGCCATGTGGTCCAATAAACAAGGAAATGGAGGTACAGAGACAAGATTACTTATTACAATGCTAGTCAAGATCCAGGTCAGGACTAAGATGGACTCCTACAGTGCTTGTGACCACACCTGCCTTGTTCTTTTTCCTTACCCAAGTCAGTCTTTGCAGTCACACTCCCTTAACAACTTCATCTATGTTCAGTGTTGCTCCTGGAACCCTGAAAAAATCTATGTCCTACAAGCAAGACCTACTTCTGAATAAATAAAAAACTAAACAAACAAAAAAAACGGGAAATTACCTCATGTTCTTTCTCTTGTAGCAAAAGAACAATGTCTCCTGGTTCCACTCCTGGGGCCTGGTCTGCTTCCCCAGTGAATGCAATTCTCTGTCCGTGGCTCATGCCTTTGTCTACGTGGACTTCAAGGATCTTGACTTCTTTAACCACCTTCTTCCCTTCACATTTTTTACAGCGGTCCTTTTCATTAATTACCTCTCCTGGAAAGAGAGGTCATTGAAACTTTCAGCAAGAACACTATATTAAGTAAGCTAGGTCTTGACGATGCCCTTATTCATTAAACATACTTTGAACTTCTTTTAATCTCTATCTAAATGTTTGTTTAAAGTACCATTTCTGAGTAACAAAAACACATCTTACTGCAGGTCATTTGAAGAACCCAGTTACTCACTATTTTAGAATTAATGTATCATAAGACTTTCCTGACTCCTGACTCTACATCCCAATGTTAAAACAAAGCCTAAGACTAAAGGAAACAAAAATAAGCAGTCAGACACTGGAGCTTCTACAACTGCATTTACAGAAAAGGATTTTAGCTTTAGTTCTAGTTTCACATAAGTTTAACAACGGACAGAGACAACTCAAACCAAATTTTATGTATCCTTTATGGCTCATTAGTAAATTGTATTGTTGACACAGAAGTTTACTTCACAGACTAAATGCTGCTCAAGTGTCCTACTTTATATCCTTCATTTAGGTACATTATCATTGAAAATTTCCGAAGCCAATCAGGGATGGTTAGCTTCTTTTTCTTAAGATTAGAAAATATGGCCGGGCTCGGTGGCTCAGCCTGTAATCCCAGCACTTTGGGAGGCTGAGGTGAGTGGATTGCCTGAACCCATGGGTTTGAGACCAGCCCGGGCAACTTGGCGAGACCTCGTCACTAAAATAAATTAAAAAATAGCCGGGTATAGTAGTGTGCGCCTGTAGTTCCGGCTACTTGGAAGGCTGACGTGGAGGAATCGCTGGAGCCCAGCATGTCAACGCTGGGGTGGCCATGAGCTTGCCACTGCACTCCAGCCTGGGCAACAGAGTGAGATTACAACTCAAAAAAAAAAAAAAAGATTAGAAAATAGTTTATTTACAAAGTAAATGAGAGCAAGAGGGGGAGATTCACCTCCCCAAGGTAGTGGAGGGGGCCAAAGTCTACTTTTTTGAGTTAGAGTTTCACTCTGTCACCCAGTCTGGAGTGCAGTGGCACACTCATGGCCACCGCAGCCTCAACCCACTGGGCTCAGGTGATCCTTCAGCTTCAGTCTTCCAAGTAGCTGGAACTACAGGCATGCGCCACCAAGTCACCCAGGCTGGTCTTGAACCCGTGGGCTCAGACAATCCTCTCAACCTCAGCCTCCCAAAGTTCTGGGATTATAGGGGTGAGCCACCACACCCAGCCATTTTTTTTAAATAAAAAAGACAGGACTCAGAGGCCAGGTGTAGTGGCTCATGCCTGTAATCCTCACACTTTGGGAGGCTAAGGCAGGGAGATTGCTTGAGACCAAGAGTTCGAGACCAGCCTAGGCAACAGAGTAAGATCCCCATCTCAAGTAAAAAAAAAAAAGTGTCACTACATTCATTAGGTTAGCCTCAAACTCCTGGTCTCAAGCAATTCTCCCAAATTGTTGGGATTACAGACAGGAGCTACAGTGCCCAGTGGCTGAATTTCAGCTGGCTCTGAGTATGTCTATACTATGGGTTAGGACAACATAGCTTTTCCTTCTATGCATTCTTCTGAAAAGTCTGGTTATGGTACAAAAAAATAAAACTGAAGTGGTATATACTATAGTGTGAAAAAACAGCGTTGCTTTCTAATGCCTCATTATTGGCACATTTTAATACTTAAACGATGTGTATAATTGATGACTTCAGGGACTATTTCTAATGCACTTTTGCTAAGTATGTTCTGCAAAACACCATTTCTTCAAAATGGTAATCGTACATGAGAAAATATTTGGTTTCTTGATAGCAGGAATTGCTAGTAAATTAAATAGGGAAAAATGCATGGTGACTCTCTAGGAAGGGAATACAAGGGAAACAAACAAACAAATAAAACCCCGGAATTATTTTTTGTGCCCGTCAGTGTTGTTGTGAGAGGACATGTTAGGCTTCAGTGAATTTTTTTTGAGATCCTTTCAACACATTTGCCCATTTCTTGATGGGTGATTTACATGAACAACTTGCCCACACCATGCTGAGTGTTCAGTAGTTTTTGACCAGATGGCATGGTCCCCATGCCCCACCCTCCTTAGTCACCTGATCTTGCCCTGAGTGACTTTATGAAGAAAGTCCTCAGAGGGAAATATTTTTCCAATATGAAAGAGGTGAAACAAAAAACTGCAGGAGCACTAGAAGGCATCAAAATAGATAAGTTCAAAACTATTTTGAGCAGTAGAAAAAAGCATCTCCATAGGTGTACTGCATCAAATGGAGAGTACTTGGAAGGTGACTAAAGTTTAAACATGTAAGGATAAACATACAATGTTTTATAAATAAATTCTGGGCTTTTTGGTACTCCCTTATATGTAGCTTCTCGAAATGATCTCTTCATAACGAAAAACAATTTGGAAAATGATGCTGTAGAACCATACTGTCCTACATGGTAGCCACTAGCCATCTGTAGCTATTTAAATTTATTTAAATTAAATTAATTAAAACAAAAAATTCACTTTCTTAGTTACACTAGCCACATTCTAAGTAGTCAATAGCCACAGGTGACAAGTGGCTACCATACTGGACATACGGAACACCTCGAGCATCACAGAAAAAAAAATTGTATTGGCTAGTCCCAATCTAGAATAGGAGCTTCACACAGACCAAATTGGGAAAGCTGCTTGTTTTTGTAAATTAAAGTCTTATTGGAACACAGCCAGACCCATATTTTTACACAGTGTCTGTGGCTATAAAAGCTCCAAAAGGTGAGAGGTGAGTAGTTGTGACAGAAACTATTTGGTCCACAAATAATAAAATATTTTTGTGAGAAGAGCTTCAATTCCAATATCCATCTTCAAAAGCTAACTAAAGTTGGCTGGGCATGGTGGCTCAAGCCTGCAATCCTAGCACTTTGGGAGGCAAAGGCAGGAGGACTGCCTGAGCTCAGGAGTTCGAGACCAGCCTAAGCAACATGGCAAGACCCTGTTTCTCCAATAAATCAAAAAATTAGCCGGGCATGGTAGCATGTGCCTGTAGTCTCAGCTACTTGGAAAGCTGAAGCAGAAGGATCACCTGAGTCCAGCAAGTCAAGGCTGCGGTGGCCATGAATATGCCACTGCTCTTCAGCCTGGGAGACAGAGTGAGACGCCAACTAAAAAAATAATTAAAAAAAAAGGCTAACTAAGCCAGGCTCAGTGGCTCAGCCTGTAATCCTGCGCCTTTGGGAGGCTGAGGTGAGTGGATTGCCTGAGCCCGCAGGTTCGAGACCCTCCTGGGCAACTTAGCGAGACCTCATCTCTACAATAAATAAAAAAATTAGCCGGGCGTGGCAGCGTGCACTTGTAGTTCCAGCTACTTGGAAGGCTGAGGCGGAAGGATTGCCAGAGCCCAGCAGGTTGAGGCTGCGGTGGCCGGGTGCAGCCACTGCACTCCAGTCTGGGTGACAGAGTGAGACTCCAACTCAAAAAAAAAAAAGGCTAACTAAAGCTTATAGCAAAATCCTCCATTTATCAGAACAGCCAAACAATTTGCTATCTGTTTATCAACCATCATCATATAACTCTATTTGTAGAAATGACCATCACAAGAGGATTACCTCCTTTATGAAATGTAACCTTTTAAACAACAAAGGAACAAATACAAAGATTAACCTTTTACTGAACATAATACAAATTTACTGTTTGTGTGTTCATTAGGTTTATGCATAAAGAAATAATTATTTTTACCCTTTTCCTTTAAAACTCTATTATCTTTTCTTTAATACAATGAACATAAATGCCATTTGAAAAACTGTAAACCTCTCCAATTTCTGCATTTCCAATCTGCTACAATGTAAAAGTAGAGACGTATCAGCATATATACCTTCTCCATTACAATCAGAGCACACAGATTGCATCTGTTGCACCATTCCTGGAGCCAGCTGTCTGATCATGATGCGCACACCTCGACCTCGACAAGCACTACACTTCTGCACAGCTCCAGACTTTCCACCTTGGCTACAGTAAGCAAAAGTATAAATTAGTTTGCTGCCCACAGACCATTCCAATAAGTCCTAAAAAAACAGTAATTGTGCTTTCACCTTCATCTTCAACCTCCAAGAACTTATATATTTAAATCAACTTTCAAAGGTATCAGAAAACGTTCTGTTGGGTATTAAGTTTTAAATCATGAATAATTTTTTAACTAGTATAGACTTTTAGTACACTGAAAGAAGAGACAAAATGTACTGCATGAACCAGAACACACACTTACCCACTGCAAGCACTACAGAGTACATTCTTGCTAAGTTGTAGTTTGGTTGTCTTGCCATTATACAGATCTTCTAAAGATACTCTGGGGAGAAAAGAATCAGGTTCAACCAAATGTTGCCAAGTTTTCGTAAATACAAGAGATAAATGATAGCTGATACAGCAAATTCTACCACAACTTTCAAAACAAAGAATTCAAAAACATGTCACATCAATCCAACTGGTAAGGTTTTATTTTGTGGCTCAAATCAGGAGAAAGATATCATGAGTACAGACAGTATATACAGTGCTCAAAGCCAGAACCAACAGCATCAGATCAACAATTTGCTGTGCTGTATTTTCTGATAAAGTTGATAAACGCACAAACTCAAACATCACAACCTTCTGTTCTCAGGTATGAGCCTTGCACCTAAGTAACTCCTAATCACAACTTTCTCAAGGAGGTACAATTTATTATCCCCATTAGTGACAAAAGTAAAGCACAGAAAGGTTAAGTAAACTTGCCCAAGATAGCACAGGAATCAGGCTCCAGAGTCTCTGGTCCTTCCATGGACAATTTAGAAAGCCTACAAAGTTATATTAAGTTTACAGGAGGCACTTAATTTATATGTCTCAAAAAAAGGTGGCCTTAATTACAGTGTGACAGAAAAGAGGAAAAAATAGATTTTCAATGGAGAGCATACAAGCTTTAGAGGCTCTGAAGAACACACTGAATCATAAAGCAAACCTGTGTGCTTTAACAACTTTTACTGCTGGGCAGGATGGCTCACAACTGTAATCCCAGCATTTTGAGAGGCGGAAGTGAGAGGATTGTCTGAGTCCAAGGGTTCAAGCAATTGGGCAACTTGGCGAGACCGCATCTCTACAATAAATCAAAAAATTGGCCAGGCCCAGTGGCTCACGCCTATAATCCCAGCACTTTGGGAGGCCGAGGTAAGAGGATTGCCTGAGTCCACAGGTTCAAGACCAGTCTGGGCAAATTGGTGAGACCTCATTTCTACAATAAATCAAAGAATTAGCTGGGCGTGGTGGTGCATGCCTGTAGTTCCAACTACTTGGAAAGCTGAGTTGGAAGTTGCACTCCAGCCTGGGCAACAGTGAGACTCTGACTAAAAAAACAAAAACAAAAAACTTTTACCAAATTTCCCAAGTGAAATAAAACGTCTATTATTCAAATCATCAAGTCATATATATCAAATATGTATAGCTTTTTGTATGTCAATACAAAATAAAACACATTTATTAAGGTATGCTTCAGGAAAGTGGTAAAGAAAACAAGCTGATTAAAAAAGTGAACTGGGATGGCCCACTGGTTCACACTTGTAATCCCAGCACTGTGAGAGGTTGAGAAGAAAAGACAGTCTAAGCTGGTTTGGGACCAACCTGGGCAACATGTTGAGACCTATCTCTACAATGAATCAAAAAATTAGCTGGGCATGATGGCATGCACCAGTAGTCCCAGCTACTTGGAAGGCTGAGGCAGAAGGTTCGCCTAAGCCCAGTAGGTAGAGGCTGCAGTAGCCGAAAAAGTGTGCCACTGAACTACAACAAGGGTGAGAGAGTGAGGCTCCAACTCAAAAACAAAAACCTAAAAACCCAAAACCAACACCTGATAAACTTTAATTTTTACATAGCATATTTGAATTATAGGATCAATTTCCAAACTAACTTAAAAATAAAACCTATGTATATTAAAAGCCTCACCACTGGCCTGGCATGGTGACTCACTTCTGTAATCCCAGTACTTTGGGAGGCTGAGGCGGGAGGATTGCTTGAGCCCTGGAGTTCAGGATTAGCCTGGGCAACATAATGAGACCTCGTCTCTATCAAAAAAAAAAAAAAAAAAAAATAGCTGAGCCTGCACCTGTGGTCCCAGCTACTAGAGGCAGAGGCAGGAGGGTCATCTGAGCCCAGGAGTCTGAGGTTGCAGTGAGCCATGATCATGCCACTAAACTTCAGTCAGGACAATAGAGTGAGACCTCAACCAAAAAAAAGTCTCACAAATACTATTCATTTAGGATTTGGCAGCAATACATTTAATAATTTGGTTTTACTCTTCTTGTGCTTTTAAATCTCTTTCAGTGGCCAGGTACGGTGGCTCAGCCTGTAATCTCAGTACTTTGGGAGGCCAAGGCGAGAGAATTGCCTGAGCCCAGGGGTTTGAGACTAGTCTGGGCAACTTGCTAGCTAGGCGTGGGTCTGTAGTTCCAGCTACCTGGAAGGGTGAGGCAGAAGTTTCACCTAAGCCCAGTAGGTCGAGGCTGTGGTGGCTGTGAGTGTGCCACTGCACTTCAGCCTGGGCAAAAGAGTGAGACTCCAACTCAAAAAAGAAAAAAAAAATCTTTTAGTACTACATGCTGAGTGTCTGCTTGGAACCAAAAGTGTTTTGGATCTTAGATATTTTCAAAACAAGAAATATTTGCATATACATAATGAGGTATCTTAGAGATGGGCTCAAAATCTAAACATGAAATTCATTTCACGTATGTTTCATATATACTTTATACACACAGGCTGAAGGTAATCTTATATAAAATTTTAAATAATCTTGTGCATAAAACAAAATCTGCATTAAGTACTTTTACTTATAGCATCACGCCTGTACTCAAAAACTTTGCATTTTGGAGCACTTCAGATTTCAGATTGGGGGTGCTCAACCTGTAATGATTTACTTTAAAATCCTGGGAGTTAGAGGAGTAACAACAAAAAAAACTGCTGAAAGTATTTTACAAAGCACCTATATACTACGTCTTGGATTCAAACTTTCTCAAAATTGTTGTTTTAAGCAAAACTTTTATATGTTGTGGTAAGAGAATAACACTTCCAAATAATGACATGTCTACAGTTCAGTTTTTGACAAAAGTACTTGTTGCATCTATCCTTTATACCCTTCATTAAGAACCTGCTACCAAATCATTTACAGAAAACAGGTCTTCCCTTCTACACATTAAATTATAAATAATACACAAAACCACTATCTAAGCCAGAAAAATCTATTTCCACAAGCGTGGCCAAGGAAGGCAGATTCAGGTAATGGTGTGGCAAGGCTGACAATTCCCACTAGTGGGGTGTAAACTGGCACAATGCCTCTTCAAGGCAATTTAGCTGTATTATCTCAAAACACTGACGTCTTTTGGGGAATCTGCCAAGGAGAGAGAAAGCTACATATAAAGGTACGACAGCACTATTTACTACAGAAAAAAAAACTAGCAACACAATACATAAAAAGTGAATGATTAAATAAATCATGGAATAGAGTGTCATAAAGTCACCCCAAATGAAATGTTTGTAATAACAGGAAAATTTTAGATGTTAAAACAGTAGAAAAATGCATTTGCTGTATAGCATGAAAAAAATTTTTTAAGCACAAAGGTACAGCAAGCACTCCCTTGATCCTATTAACTTCTCAGGCCATTCCTATAACAAAGAAAAACATGAAAGAACTCACACTGGAAATGCTACTCTTGGAATAGTATCCAAATGATAATTTATCTGAGGGTAAATTCTTTTAAAATACAAATTTAAGAATTTGAGTATGAAACTCAAACAAGGTACTAGATTACATAGGACTTCCTCTAACTTACTCAGATGTATAAACTAGATATTATGAAATATTCTAAGTAAGCAGTCGAACTTTGGTTGCTGGCATTTGCTAGTAAAATCATTTATTGGTTCATGAAAAAATGAACAGGATAAAACACCTCACAGATTTCTGCAAACCAAACTAGCTATTTTCATAGTGTAGAGGGCTTGTGGATTCCCAGTCTAAGATCAAGGTCAGACACCATTCATATGTTGGCAGGTTAATGTCAGGCTGAAAGCCAGCAAGCTCCAAGGAAACCAATTTAGGAGAGCTCACACTGAGGATCAAGTAATGAGTAACTATCACATGTAAACAAACTAAACATTTTGTAAATTAAAAAAAAGTAACTTGCAAGATTTACATACTTCAAAGAAAATAATCTTCACACTTGAAAATTTAAATCATGGGCAACCCCTTCAGGTCTCCTCCCAATGTGGGAGCTCTTCTGTCCTCTCAATAAATCCTGCTTTCTCACTTTCTTTAAAAAAAAAAAAAAAATTTAAATCATAGCTGGGCACGGTGGCTCACTTGTGTAATTCCAACACTTCACTTTGGGAGGCAGAGGCAAGAGAATTGCCCAAGTCCAGGGGCTCGAGACTAGCCTGGGCAACTTGGCGAGACCTCATATCTACAAAAAAATTAAAAAAAAAAGCTAGCTGGGCATGGTGGCAGCTGCCTGTAGTTCCAGCTACTTGGGAGACTGAGGCAGAAGGATTGCCTCAGCCCAGTAGGTCGAAGTTGCAGTGGTGGTGAGCATGCCCCTGTACTCTAGCCTGGGTGACAGAATGACACTCCAACTAAAAAAATATATAGGCTGGGCTTAGTGGTTCAATCTGTAATCCCAGTACATTGGGAAGCTGAGGCAAGTGGTTTGCCTGAGCCCACAAGTTCGAGACCAGCCCAGGCACTTTGGCGAGACCTCGTCTCTACAATAAAGTAAAATAAAATAAATTAGCCAAGCACGGTAGCACGTGCCTGTAGTTCTGGCTACTTGGAAGGACGAGGCAGAAAAATTGTGGAAGCCCAGCAGGTCGACGTTGACTCTGGGATGGCCGTGAGTATGCCACTGTACTCCAGCCTGGGTGACAGAGTAAGACTCCAACTCCAAACTCAAAAAACACACATTCATGTATATACACACACACACACACACACAAACCATCTTCCTATTCAATAAAAAACATCAACCTGTCTTTCAAGCTCTGTAGTAAAATACAAAATATCCAATTATCAAATTCAATTTAGTTACCCAATGAAGGCAAGTAAAACAAATGAAATTTTTTTCCCCCCGAGTCTGAGTCTCACTCTGTCACCCAGACTGGAGTGCAGTGGCACTCTCATGGCCACTGCAACTTTGACCTGCTGGGCTCAGGTGACCCTTCAGCCTCAGCTTTCCAAGTAGCTGGAACCACAGGCACGTGCCACCACACTTGGCTAATATTTTTTTTTTGATTTATTGTAGAGACAAGGTCTCACCAAGTTGCCCAGGCTGGTCTCGAATCTCTGGACTTAGGCACTCTTCTCACCTCTGCCTCCCAAAGTGCTGGGATTATAGGCATGAGCCACCGTACCCGGCTGAAGATTTATTTTCTAATGAAGGATAGAACATCCCATGATATGTTTTTCCTACTGAATATTATCCACTTGAAAAAGTGCTTGATAAAATACCATACTTACTTGAGTGGATGCATCATGTCCTCTCCTCTTCTTCTGCCATTTCGGCTTCTACTCTGATTGCCCATGAAGCCAAATAATCCCCCACCAAAAATGTGAGAGAAAATATCATCCATGCCACCACCTCCGCCGCTACCTTCTCGAAGACCTTGTTCTCCGTATCTGTCATATAACTCACGCTTCTCAGGATTTGACAGTACTTCATATGCAAAACTTATTTCTTTAAACTATAAAGAAAAAGTAAAAATGAAAACAATTTATTTTCAAATACAGAGTAGAGAAGGGCTACAGGAACCTAGAATTCACTTATTTCTAATAAAAGCAACAAATTACCTTTGCCTTGATTCTGGTTCTATTTACCACCCACTACTGCTCAGGTTAGTATTTCTATTATAAAACTAGAATACTCTTAAGATTAAATTATGGTTCTATAGGCATAGGTGGATTTTTTTCCTACCACATTCCTTTTTTCAAGGAAGGCAATTTAAGTTTAAAACTAAAACCTCAGAAATGTAAAGTTTCAAATAAACTTACTTTGTCTCCCGCATTTGGATTCTTATCAGGATGGTATTCCTTGGCTAACTTTCTGTATGCCTTTGAAAATGGATTTAAAAACAGGGTTATACACAAACAGCAGTTTAAAGATTGTGGTAACTTTTTTTTTCTGAGAAGCAATGCCTTAAAGTCATAACCTTGGAAAAGTATCTTCTATTTATAGGAATTGTTTGGCATTTTCCATCCTGATATTGTTTACTCACAAATGTAACATAATAGACAGTAGTTATACTTGAAGAAAAAACCATGAAGCAATGACAGAAAAACACAACCTGAAGACACTATCCAAATTTTCATTATTGTCAAATACCTTTATGGCCAAGTAACCAGACCAAGCCCCTAATATACTCAAGAGAAATGATTAAGCCTTACAGCCTGCCAAACGTTACTATAAACTACTGTAAGGTAAGAATCCCTGCTCCCGATGCCCCCTGCATTCCCTCTAATTGTACATAAGGATACAGCCACGAGGGGCTGGGAAGTGGGCATACGGTGAGTAACCGGGGTCAACCGGTCACAGCGAAGTTGCATACACTCAACTAGGTGGGTGGGACGCACACTCGGGGACTCCAGGATTATATAACACAGACCAGCATTTCCGGTAGGGAACAGGAAGTCCATTTAACTCTCGACTGCACTAGTCCCACCACCCGAGGAGTATTCTCATCTCTCAGCCCGGTGAGGATGCTGTGGGGCTTAAGGGCCTCACTGCTGGGAAACTCTTGGGAGGAAAGACCCGCAGCGCTTGTTTCTAATTGTGCACTCAGGTGTTCGACCGGGACCCAGGCGTATTCCTGAAGCGGGCACAGGACACCTAGATCACCTGCCCCCAGAACAATGCCTCCCAACCCAGACCCACGCCGCCTCGGGGTCACCGGGCGAGGGGGAGCTCCCGCAGCCGGCTGCCGGGAGACACCAGTGGCGCCGCCTCGACCCTCCCGCCGCTCTGCCCCAGAACCGGCGTCCATGGCCCGCATAGCTTCTCCCCTGGGGCCGGGATGCACTGAGCGCCTCGGCCTAACCTGTTTTTCCGGGGTGGTGACCTCGACGCCGGGAGGGACTGACCGGCCGCCGCCTCCCGGGAGCTCCCTGCCTCCGGCGCTGGCCGGAGGAGGAAAGAAGGATTGGCTTCCGCCGTATCTGCGCAGGGGTGAGTTTTATTTG